GGCAGAACTGAGGGGGAAATGTCTGACAGAAAGAAGGGAGCTCTGAGGGGACATCCAACAGAAAGGGGGTGCCTTGAGAAGATGGCTGATGAGAACAGGGGCCCTAAGGGGGAGATGGCTAATATGAATTTGGGGACCCTAAGGGGGCTGTATCTGACAGGAACAGAGGGACGCTAGGGAGGAGTAGGAAGAACACATCAGACACGAGTGGGGAACTCCTGGGGGGACATGTCTGAGAGGAATGAGGCACTCTGAGATATGTCAGAAATTGGGGGGCACCATGCAAAAATGTTGGACGGCAGTAAGGGGATACCGAGGAGGCATGTCTGACAGGAATAGGAGGGATGTGCATGATAGCAATAGCAGTTCACTGAGGGGGAGATCTCAGAAGAGAGGGAAGTAAGCCTCCCTCACAGTTTGGGTGGAAGAGATCATCTGAGAGAGGTGAGCAGGGAGAGGCCTCAGGTGGGACGAGCTCAGAGAGGGGAACCCTGAGGGTTCTAAATGTTCTCCAGTTGCAGGCTGGAAGAGCCTTTGGAGATTTACTTGTCAGCCCCTCAGTTTACATATGAAGTTACTGAGTCCCAGAAAAGTTCCATAGTAGGGACTTGAAGCTAGGTGCCCTGACTCCAGGACCTTCATTTCCTTTCCCTGCAGCACTATGTTGTGGGGGGAGGCTGGGGTATTCCTCTTCCTCTGGCCTTCCCTCAGTTGCCTCTTGTTCTGAGGAGAGGGGAGCCTGGGCCTCTTCACTGCTCTCCTGTTGGCCCAGAGCACCCCCCTCACAGCTTCTCTTGGGGCTTACAGACTGCAGAGTGTGTGGCAAATCTTCATGGAGCCAACTACAGGACTTGTGCCGGCTGGCCAAGACCTCCTGCCCTGCTCTTGGCATCTCCCGAAAGAACCTGTGTATCTTTGAGGTGGACTACCTGTGCAACTATAAGAAGGTCCGGGTAAGTCCCCTGGGGTAAGGGCAGCCTGGTTGGAGGGTGGGGTGCCTTATTCCTTCCCAGCTGACTCACAGGCCTTACAGGGGAACTGGATGGGAGTGGGTGCCGAGTGAGTGTCTGGAGGCCCTTGAAGGCACCCCCCACATGCTGTTCTCTGGCTCATCCTCCAGGAGCAAGAATACTACCTTGTGAAGTGGAGAGGTTACCCAGACTCTGAGAACACATGGGAGCCACGCCGGAACCTGAGGTGTGCCGGGATCTTGAAGCAGTTCCATCGAGACCTGGAGCAGGAGTTATTCCGCCGTAGTGGGAGGCGGCCCAGGGTCCGGCCCCCTCGACACCTGGATGCAGCCCTGGTAGATTTCCTAGTGCAGAAGGGCAGGCAGCGCAAGGCCCTGCAGCGTTGGGAGAGGGAGCTGAATGCCAAGCGGGCTCACAAGGGCCGCATCTCTGTGGAAAATGAAGTGGACTTACATGGGCCCCCCCAGGACTTCACATACATTAATGAGTACAAGATGGGCGAAGGGATCACCCTGAGCCAGATGGCCACCGGCTGTGAATGCAAGGACTGTCTGGACGATCAGGCCAATGGCTGCTGCCCAGGTGCATTGCTCAAGAAGTTTGCCTATAATGTCCAAGGCCAGGTGCGGCTGCAAGCTGGCCAGCCCATCTATGAGTGTAATGCCCGCTGCCGCTGTAGCAGCGACTGCCCCAACCGCGTGGTGCAGAGGGGCATCAGTTACAATCTGTGCATCTTCCGCACAGCCAACGGGCGAGGCTGGGGGGTCCGCACACTTGAGAAGATTCGCAACCACAGCTTTGTCATGGAGTATGTGGGTGAGGTAAGGCTAATGTGGACACTAAGGAATGCTTATTTCAGGGAGCCAGTGAATGCCTGTGGGCGTGGCTTTTCTGTGTGGCCCAGGGCAAGCTGTTTCTGCTTTCTTGACCTCAGTCTTGTTTTCTCTAATATAAGATCCATCCCACATTAACGGTCTTTGACAGGAAGTTCCCTAAGCCTCCTTCTAGTACTGGACCTCATCTCTAAAGAGCTGACTTCTTGCTGATGAACACAGTCATTCAGGTATCTGCCCCCACCCCAGTTCCCTCGGGGATTTTCCCTCTGTGGGTTTTAGTTACCCCTTTATCTGTTCAGCAGTGGGGTCAGAATCAATGGGCTCCAAGGCCCCTTCTACATCTTCCATCTGACATTTTGATGGAGGAGTTCAGCAAGTCTAAAAGGTTGGGAGCCCCAGATTTGGAAACAGTGTTACAGATATGTGGACCCTCTAAACTTTCTGGGTGACTCTGGATGAGTGCTTTCTGTGGGCGGGAATGTCAGTGGAGGGTATTTAAGCCCTCTTCTAGCCTTGGGTCCCAGAAGAAGTCCCAAGAGCTGTCCTTGCCTCCCTGATCAGCCAGTTGTGTGATCTCTGGGCCTCAGTCACCCACCCTGAGGTGGGGTGGAGTCAGTGATTTCTTGGCTGGGATAGGGTGGAGAATTTGCTCCAACTTGTGACTGAGGGACATGATCATTCACAGAGAATGCTAGGCTAAACTCTGGAGGCCTGGATTTGAGTCTTGGCCCTGCTTCTTACAAGCTCCATGACTAGCCTTTGGCGAGGCTCAAAAACACGAGGATTGGCTTTGCTAGATCTCCAAGCTTCTTTCTAGCTCTGTCCAGTCTGGGACCTGGCCAACCCTCATGGAGTCACACAGAGCTCACTTGGCCTCCCCAACTTATTTTGTGATCTCCTTTTCTGGGCCTCAGTTTCTCCTCTGATATAGGTCAGGGGGGGTTTTAACTGGATGATCTCTCTAAGCCCCCTTCCACTTCTACCATTCAATAACATGGGTGCAGCATGTTGAAAAAAAAAGATGGTTAACCCCTGATTTAGGCAACATAGTGGATTTCCTTAATCTCCTAGTGCCCCGTGTGACTCAAGGTTAGTCTCTTTCCTACTCTGGGCCTCAATTTTCCTCATATCTGTAAAACCATAAGATGTGACCAGAGGGTGAGGGTGTGTAGCCTAGAGAAAAGACTTTCTTGGTGGGACTCAACTGTCCTAAAGGAGCAGGTTTACTCTTGAGTGGCAGGAGCCCTGTGTTTTGGGCACTGCTGGAGAGTGCTAGCCAAGAAGACCTGGGCCCAGCAGTTACTTGGGGGCCATACTTGTGAGATGGGTGCCTAGAAGCTGCCTGTGGAGAAACTGGGGATGCTGAGGAGGGGCTCTGGCCAGGCCTTGAAGGGAGGAAGAGTTGGGATAGGGCCTCACTGATAGGCTCCCTAGAGGTGGATTCCAAGAGCAGGTTGGGGCAAAGGAAGTAGAATCAAAAGAGTAGACTGCTGATTCAGAAGCTCCTTGGGTAGGTCTGAAAAGGAAGGAAAGTGACCCTTAAATACCCAGCCAGGTGCCTTGGGCAGACTGGGTCCCCTCGCCCAGGGTCTAAGAGGCAAGACTAGGACTTGGGAGGTGGCATGCATCCAGGGAGACAGATTTAGGCTTTCAAATGATCACAACTATCCAGAAATGGAGGAAGGTACTGCTTCAGGACGCCCCCTAAGGATGTGTAAAGAGGAGCAAGAGCCTGTCCTCTGCCAAAAATCCTTCCACCTCTGTTGTTTCTATGGGTCTCAGACCCTCCCTGGGTTATCTTGGAGGTTAAGTGAGATGACCTAATCTGCTCTAGAAATGGTAGTCGTTTGACTCTGACTTAAGCTCCCCTGATTCTGGAATCCTCAGATCATCACCTCTGAGGAGGCAGAACGGCGTGGGCAGATCTATGACCGGCAGGGAATCACCTACCTTTTTGATTTGGACTACGTGGAGGACGTCTACACAGTGGATGCAGCCTACTATGGGAACGTCTCCCACTTTGTTAACCATAGCGTAGGTGGCTGGGGGGTAAGGGTGGGTCCACACTGGCCCCTCCCTTCTACCTCCTCCACGCTGATCTTTGCCCCTCTTTCTTCTGGGCAGTGTAGCCCCAACCTTCAGGTCTACAATGTCTTCGTCGATAATCTGGACGAGCGCCTACCACGAATTGCCTTTTTTGCCACCCGAACTATCTGGGCAGGCGAGGAGTTAACCTTTGACTACAATATGCAAGGTTGTGCAGGTGTTGGGGGGGGGGAAGCAGAACTATTTGGGGGAAGGGGAGGGGTTGGTATGATGGGGCACCATTGAATTTGAGGCCTAGATGTGCCTTCAGTGATCAGGCTTGGATCTTGAGAGTTGGGGAGGGGGAAAGAAGACCAAGGGCCTGGGGAGATTCCCCCCCCCCACCCCCACCATAAGAGGGGCGGAGATGAAGCTGCTGAGCTGAGCAGGGCAGAGCCCAGGAGGTCAATGACATGTCAAAGACATCTGGGCCCTGACTCCTTTGACCAAGCCCTCTTTTCACAGTGGACCCCATAGATGTGGAAAGCACACGTATGGACTCTAACTTCGGTCTGGCTGGTCTCACAGGCTCTCCCAAGAAGCGGGTGCGGATTGAGTGTAAATGCGGAACCGAATCCTGCCGGAAGTACCTCTTCTAGTACCTGTCACCTTCGTTTTCAAGACAGCCCAGGACAAAGTTGTGGGCTAGCACAATGGCTCCCCTGGGCTCTTGACCTACCTTTCAGGGCAGCAAAATGACTGCCCCCCCCCCCATTTCCCTTGGGCTGCGGGGGAGGGGGGGTGGTATCCAGAGTTTACCTGTCCCAGTCCCTCACCCTCCTCTCCCAGTTTGCACTTCAGTTGAGTTCACATGTTTTGATGATAGTTTTTCAGTCCCCTGCAGGGGGTGCTTGGGAAGTGGATCCATCCTTTTTCCCCAAGAGGTTGCTATGTTTAGCTCATCACATTTGTTTTCAACAGTTTCCTTTGGGCTGTTTCTCAGCTTATAATACATTGATTTGTGTTCTTTATCCGGTCTTTGTCTCACTGCTTCCTCTTGCGGGGTGGGCTCCTGGCTGGGGAGGGGAGGGGAAGGGAGCGAGAGTAGGCCTCACTTCTTTAGGTCATCTCCCCTAGCCAAAAGGGGGGACATAGGAAGGCACAGTGGTCACCGGGCATGGATTTTTATTATTTACAAAGCTCCTCCCCACTACTGCTACTGCTGTGCCCATCCCTAGTTCACTGAGACCGTGTGCCTGGCCTAGGCCTGGGCCCTCCTTCAAGGTAGGCAATGGCTACTTTTGCTCTCGTCGCCACGCAATGGCTACTTTTGCTCTCGTCGCCACACAATGACCATCCCGCCAGCATCACTCGAGGCCAGAAGGCTCTCATCACAGTTAAAACTGACATCCAGCACAGCAGCGCTGTGGCCCTGCAGTTTGTTGACGATGGCCCTGGTGGCCCGTTCCACATCAAAAAAATAGACACACATGTCCTCACTGCCTGTGACTGAGAGCAGATGGGGAAGGGGAGTGGAATGAGAGAAAGAAGAGTCAGCAGAGGCAGAGTTCTCATCCCCACCCTCTCTCCAACGTTCTGCAAGCCCCTGAGCTCACCTACACAGGCCCCCTGGCGGAAGGACATGAGGGGACAGAAGATGCTTCGAATAGGGTGCAGGCTCTGTTCAATTGGGAAGCTCCTCTTCAGCTGCAGAGTGCCCTCGTTATCCACCACTCTGTAGGAAAGAGGTGGGGTGGGGGGCTAGGGTTGGCCTTCACAGTCTCACAGAATAAGAATTCACTCAGGGGACTCAGGAGGGAAAAAGGCCCTGACAGAAGGGGCCGCCCCTCACCGGTACAGGAGTAGTTTGTTGATGCAGGCATTGATGAGCAGAGAGGGGTCACGGGCTTCCCGGCTGATCCAGGAACGTGCGCTGATACTAGTGATGGAGCTGCCCTCGTGTACCACCAACCGCTTGGCTTTGGTCAGCTTCCCTGTGTGGGCAGGGAGTCTTCTGAGTCCCTGTTCTTGGGGGGCTGCTCCCCTGGAGTTGCTCCCCTCCTCTTACCTGTAGCCATGTCAAAAAGGAAGGAGAAGACGCTGCCGCGATCATCCCCGGCCCATAAGATGTGTCCAGGTGAATCAAAGGACAGGGCCAGCACACGGCCGGTCAGCTTGCTGGAGCCGCCCTTCACTTTCTTGCCCGTGGAGATGTTCATGACGTGCACATTATGCTTCCCGTTGCCCACCTGGTGGAGAATGCAGGTCATGGAGCTCCTGCAGCCTGAGACTGGGGGACCCCTGAGAGATTCTCCTGCCTTGGGGCAGGGGGAGGAGGAAGAGGAGGATGGACAGCAAAGGAAAGTGTGGCAGAGCCCACGGGACACAATTGGGACACACCAGCAGAGACTCTGGGGCTCTAGAAACAATGCTGTTAACCCTGTCTTGGCCTTGGAGCAGGAGCCACAGCACCAAAGAAGTTTCCAGAAGGTTATTCTTCCACAGAGGATGGGCTCTAAAGCTCTTGGAAGCCAGGGTCAGTGCGGAGAGCACAGACACTTTATACATACAACCCAGTAGGTTCTAGGCAATGGGGTTAAGTGGCCTGCTCTGAGTCACACAGCTAGCAAGTATCAAGTGTCTGAGGCCAGATTTGAACTCAGGTCCTCCCGACTCCAAGGCAGGGGCTTTATCCACTGCGCCACCAATAGGTTCTTTTGACCTGCAAAAAGGACCAAAATGGGAGGAAGGACAAGGGACTGGACAGGAGCGGTAGGGGCACCTTACCACAGTGAGATTATTGTTGACTGGCTGGAAGGTACAGCAAAGCAGTTCAGCCCCATCTGGGTCAGGGATCTCCCGGATGCAGCGGCCATCCTCAGTGGCCCAGATGCGCATGGTGGCATCCAGCGAAGTGGACACAAGGACATCATTGGACAGGGACCAGGCAAAGTCAGACACGCCACGTGAGTGCCCACGGAGCACACGCAGGACCACAGGGGGGGCAGGTACCAGCTGGCACACAGAGATGCTGCCATCCAGGGAGCAACAGGCTAGCAGGTGGCGGTCATCATTGGCAAACTGGACCTTGGGAACTGGGGGAAATGAGGGAGAAGACATTTATTTCCCAAACAAGGAGTGTCAGGCCATGAGCCAGTCACTGGATTTTACTGAAGGAGGAAAGTAGCAGTTGAAGAATTGGGAAGATTTGACCCCATTAGCATTTTAAGCACCCAAACCTGGTGCTGTCGGGTAATGGCTTCCACATAGACTACCTAAAATTAAATTTTCCTTTCAGTGTTAAAGATGGTGAGGGAGGGGGAGGGAACAAGTATATATTAAGCACCTACTCTGCACTAGGCACTGGCTTACGAGAGAAGTGATGTGCCCCAAGTTCCATAGCAAAGATTTACAAAGCTCCCTCCCACTGGCTCTCACCAGCCTCATCCACATGCTGGTCAAAGACGTGGTACATCCCAGCAAAAGCATAGTTTTCACTCAGTGAAGTGTCCCCAGCCATGGCCCGGCTGGCCTCTGCCACTGATGTGGGTACGACACTGCCTGGGGTCCTAGTGTTAGAAAACAGGGTCAGGGGAGATAGATCATGAGGACCAGAAAAAGCAAGCCCCTCCACACCCAAAAAGGCAATCAAACCAAAGCCAATCCCCCCAATTCTTCTCCCTCACCGCTCATCATAGATGACCCGATTCATCTGGGCCTGCAACTGATAGGATCCACGGCTGATGGAGCGGCGGTGCCCTCGGGCCCCCAGAGACCGGGGGTCCTCATCAAAGTCCTGCCAGGCAGAGGGAGTCAACTTAAACCCTCAGCATTGGGGATCCCATTCTGGAGTAGGAAATTACCTTCTGTAGTTCAAGGCTAAGGCTATGGACTCTGGGAGCTGGGGGAGCAGAGTCAGCAGAGTCCTCCTACAGGACCCACCTCCATCCGATCCAGTGTGGTTCGACTGCTTCGGACAACACTGTTGCTGTAGGCCCGGAAGCTCCCTGGCTCCGACAGAGGCCCATAGCGCTGCCCCAACAGCTGGGCCCTCAGTTTTAGGTACTGCCTTCGAACGGCAGGCTCATGCCCTGCTTTGGCATTTTCTCTCAGCAGCTGGCTTCTGCGCCGGATGTATTGTGTCCGGAACTGTGGGAAGGTGGGTGTGCGGTATGCGTTGTACCTGAGGGGGGTAATAATGCTGGGGAAGGGAGGAGACTGCTATGTGCTGTCCCTTGGGGAGAAAGGGGGATCGATGTCAGGGCCGCGATCCTGGGGCTTGCGTGGGACCAGCCCTGACGATGAGGACAGTGGGCCAGCAGGGGGCTGGGGGGGTCCAGTCAGCACATGGAGAAGGGGGGGCCCTGGGGGAGGCACCAGTGTACAACAGTGGGATGGGCCACAGTGGGGGGGGCAGCCCAGGGCTAGAGAGGCCCAGCAGGGGCGTGGGGATGGGGGAGAGTTGGGGTCCTTTGGAAGGCATCTGGGAACATCAAGAAGTGGGGGAGCATGGGGGCATAATAGGAAGTGGGGAGGCTGGAGCCCGGCAGGGGGTTGGGGAAGGGGAATGGGGGTGGGGTTGGGGGGGCGGTGTGGGCATGCAAGGCAATATAAGACCTCACCTTGCATCCACAGCCAGCACCTGCTGCCAAACAGCGGCCATGCCCGGCCTGGCCGCTTTCTCCAAGGAGTCCGCCCGGGGTAGCCTGGGACCAGAGGGAACGGAGGGGAGGGAGGCAGGAAGCCAGCCCCGCCACAATTAGCCTAGGTTAAACCCTGAGCGCATGCGCCCTCCCCCTCCCCCCTCTCTCTGTGGTCTAGAGTGGGGTGGGGGATGGGAAAGGTACAAGCCAAGCTCCTTGCCAGTGCATGCGCCATACAATGGTAGTCATCACCTCCCCGTTGACATGGAAACTCACTCCTGCCCTAGCCCTCACGCCCACACCCTCCCCCACCAGGAGGCTCACCTTATGGGGCGGGGCCTGGGGCTCGTCCACCTCCCGCCTTTCACCTCCCTCCCACTCCCCCCCCCCACCTTCGGCTCAGCTCCAGTTCAGAGCCCCCTCAGGCCCTTCTCAGCCTCCTGGCAGGACTGGACTCTGCGCAGGCGCCTGGCCCCGCCCTCCGAGGGCAGAGGAGGGAGGGGGGGCTGGCGTAGCTGTTCCCGCCTCCCCTCCCCCGGCGAGGGATCGGGGCCCCGCCCCCGCATGGCGCCGTCCGCCTCCCTCCCCCCCAGTTCCGAGTCAGACTTCTCTCAGGGTCTACGCAACCCAAAGGCGGCGTGCGCCGAGTCCAGCAGAGTCCGTTTCCCCCCCCACTTCCCCCCCCCGTCCCAGCCCCTTACTTTGGCAGAGACCGCCCCCCAGGGGGACGGTGTTCTCGGGCTGGGCCCCGCTGGGCCATCTGCGGGAGCGAAGGCCCCTGGACTAGCCCGCACACACACCCGGATTGCCACATCGAGTAGCCGCCACACTACCGGCCCAGCCCGAGTCTGCGCGGGTCTGGGGCGGAGCCACACCTGGTTCCCGAGGGAGGGCTGCACCTGGCCCGGCCGGCCGGCCCCTCCCCCCTCTTCGGTCTGGAGCTGGGCCACACCTGGTTCCCGAGGGAGGGCTGCACCTGGCCGGGCCGACCGTCGGCCCACCCCCGGTTCCTCCAGCCCTCCTCAGAAAGGGGCAACCTATTTACACAATCCTCGTGTCTTGTTAACTCTTCTACACAATCCTGTGTCAGAAGTAGCTTGTCTCCAGTGTTCCCATGGGATGGAAATCCATCTACACCATCCCCTGTGAGGTTTTAGTTAACTCTACTACCCCCCCACAGAATATTAAATCTATCTACACTGTCCCTGTTGTTGTGTGGCAGTTAGGTGGCGCTACAGTGCACAGAGCACCCAGGCTGGAGCCAGGAAGACCTGAATTCAAATTTGACCTCAGTCAGCTGTGACCCTGGGCAAGTCACTTCACCTCTGCCTCAGTTTCCTCCTCCGTAAAATGAGCTGGGGAAGGAAATGGAAAATCACTCCAGTATCTCTGCCAAGAAAACCCCAAATGGGGTCACGCAGAGTCTGACCCAACTAAACAGCAATATTACTATCCCTCATGGAATGTCAAATCCATCTACATTGTCCCTAGGGGCATTTTAACCTCTCTACACTCTCCCCTTTGGGGTACTAATCCCTCTGTACCATCTGGATATCAACTCATCTACACACACCCTCTGGGGTAGGGGTGGAAGAGAGTTATTACTTGGTCTACACACATCATCCTTTGGGGAGACTTTAACCCATCTACACCAACCCTTGGCACCTACAAGCTTGTCCACACATTCCCTCACTGGAGAGTAACTTCAGGTGGATTAATTACACACTGATTTGGTGTCAGGCCCTGTATGAGGAGCTGCATGTACAAAGACAAAAAGAACATGGCTCCTGCCCCCCAGAGGCGAATGGAGGACACGGCATAGTCATGGATTTCTCTAGCACCTATATTATCTTGTTTGGTTGGGCCTCACTGCAACTCTGAGCCAGCTATTATTATTTATCCCATTTTACAGAGGAAACAGAGGCCTAGAGAGGTTAAAGAACTTACCCAAGGTCACACAGCTGATAAGGAGCAAAAGTGGTCTTAACTGCAGCCGCACAAACATCTGGGGGGAGGTCTCAGAGAATGCTACTCATAGGAGGTGGCATCTGAGGCAAACCTTGAGGAAGAGCTTGTAAGCAAGGACTGCTACAAGGGAGCAGTAAGATGGGAGCCAGATTATGGAGGGCTCCAAGTTCCAAGCTGAGGAGCCATGTCAGAGCTGTTCAGTCAGGATGGCTGGGATCATACTGGATGGTCAGGATCTGGGGTGGCATTAAGAGAGAAAAGGTGCCCAATCTAGGGGCTTGCGGTTTAAAATTATTTCAGTAGGAGGGTAGGGGTATTCCAGGAAGACTCGCCCCTCACCCACCTTTGGTGTCTACCTGTCACCCAACTCTCACCAGCAGCTCCAGGAAGCTGGAGCATATGCAGTGCCCACACCCTGGTAAACTGTCTTGGCAAACGGGCTAAACCAGGTTGAGGGTAACAGGAAGACCTCAAAACCATTGGTGAGTTAGGGGGACATCTACCCCATGGATGTGAAGTCTTGCTCGGGTGGAATGAGTGGATGAGAACAACTTGTTCCAACGTCCGTGAAGGCAGCCGAAGCAGGCGCCGTAGAGTGCTTGGAGCTTGGGTGGACGTCGAGGACACCAAGGTCATCCCCTGAATCCCGGGCCATCACCAGTCCTGATTTTTGTCCCGCCACTGGACTTCCAGTGACCCAGGAAGAGAGAGTGAGGCTGCTGACGTCATGCAGCCTGGCCTCACTTCCATCCAATTCATGCACAAGTCAAGACATCACCTGGGACATCTTTGGTCCCCTTCAAAAAACAAAGAACAAACAACACAGCCTGTTCACATAGAGTTGCTTGCATGTTGCCTCTCTCATTTGAATGAGCTCCGTGAAAGCAGTGACCACGGGTCTGCCTTTCTCTGCATCCCTAGCACTTACCTCATGTTAACTCTGAGTGCTTTTGGTGAACAAAAAGCATTGTTTAAGATAATTCTCTAAACCCATTCTGCTGGCCTCCTTGGTTTTATGGGTGAGGTCATCCCTTTCACAATCAATTATTTCTGGGTTTTTCCTTGTAGTAAGATTTATACAGGCAGAGAAGAAACAAATATCCCTCTAGAACCTAAATGTCTTCAAAAGGTTCTGAGGGAGTTAAATAGGAAAAACAGGAACTGAGAGCAGATTGGTTCTTTTCTGAGAGGGGAAAAAAGAAGGGAGGGGAAAAGGAACAAAGTGTAGAAAGGAGGAAGGAACTTGTCACTTCTCATAACTGGGGTGCAAACGTGGAAGTGGTAAGGGAGTGGCCATAACATCAGACTCACTCACATAAAGTGGACAAAGGAAGGACAAATACAATTTGATGGAGAATTCAACAGCAAATTCAACAAATTCAAAAGCAGACACATGGAAGGAAAATCTTCCTCTCCCTGCTGATGACACAGCCTCCTCAGCCACCCCCGCCAAGACACACTGCACCTTCTCCTCCCTCTCTCTCAGCTGGGGACCTTGCCACATATTTGACAGAACAAAAATGCCCATTTCCCATGATTCTCTCTCTCTCCTTCTTTACTATTGTCTGCCTGGCTCCTTACCAAGGCTAACCCCTCCCCCTGCACAAGGGATCCCATTATATCTTATCTCCTCCAGCAGATGGCCCCCTCAGCCACCCCCTCTCCCTCACTTATCTTCACCCTCTCCCTGGCTCCTGGCGCCTTCCCTACTGCCTGCAAACAGGTCTGTGTCTCCCCACCCTGAAAACCCCCTCACTCATCTCTGCGATCACGTCCTCTATCTCCTTGTTGTCGGAAAGTCCATCTCCACTCGGGGCATTAGCTCTCTCTCCTCACACTGACAATCTGCCTTCTGACTTTTCCCTTCCACTAGAACTGTGCTTTCCAAAGTTGCCAGGGGTCTCTTCGTTGCCAAATCCAGTGGCCTACTATCCATCCTCATTCTCCTTGACCTCTCTGCGGCCTCTGTCTCCTCCTCAATCCTCTCTTCACTCGAGGTCTATGTCCTCATTCTCCTCCTGCTCTATCTCCTTTGCTGGAACCACAAGTATCCCCAAGGGCTCTGTCCTAGGCCTGTATGAGCTGTTGGCGTTTTCCTTTGCCAGGTGAAGCAGGAACAATTTTAATAACAAACATTCACCAAAATACTATTACGACAGTGTGTAATAAAGTGACAAAACCAAAAGGCTCATGTTATGATGCACAAGGGAGTTTAATATCTTGGAGGTCTGTGGGTTTGTTCCCTTTTGATTTGTTTCTTCTTTTACAACTGTGACTAATGTGGAAATGTTTTTACATGACAACACATGTATAAATTCTATCAAACTGCCTACCATTTTCTGAAGAGGGGAAGGGAGGGAGGGAGAAAAGCTTGGAACTCAAAATCTTGTAAAAATGAATGCTAAATATTTTTTGGGGGTCAATTGGGGTTAAGTGACTTGCCCAGGGTCACACAGCTAGTAAGTGTCAAGTGTTTGGTCTGAGGCCAAATTTGAACTCAGGTCCTCCTGACTTCAGGGCCGATACTCTATCCACTGCGCCACCTAGCTGCCCCTAAAAATTTTCTTAATGTGTAACTGGGGAAAAAAATAAAATAAAGTACATCATTATCAAAGATATCTCTGAGGTTCTGGGGAAGACATCATTTTTTATCTTGTTTCTGGGCAGGAAAGAAGGTACCTTCAAGACAAGCACTCTGCCCTTTTGCTTTACTTTTACCTGTGGATCTAAGGTTGAAGGTCAGGGCCCAGGGCATCTGGTGAGGTCTTTTCCCAGCAAGCTTCATGGCTCACTCTTTCTCCTCAATAGCCTAAGAATGAAAGCTGTGGACACACAATGGCATTGTCTTAGAACATCTGAATAGTTTCTCATACACAGAGTTGTAAAGGAGGCTGCTATTTCTCAACATTATGTGACTAGCAGGTGGGACAAGTAAAAAACTTTGGGGTATGCAGTCAGTTTGTGCTGTTGCATAAGGAAAATAAGCATCTGTGGGGCAAAATATTTATCCATTAATTATCTAATCATTATCATTCAATGATTCCATAGTAGTCTGCTGCCAACAACTCTTTGGTCATATGTTTAATTTCACAATGCATATGAGCAAATAAAGGGTTACTTGGATTTCACAGGCAGTCATCCAAGATCTCTCAGACATGACAAGAGCAGACATAATCGACCATGCACCCTCATTTCCATTTCTTTGAATTCTTGGTCTTGGCCAACTGCAGTATAGACGTGCAGCTGTCATCAATGCAGCCATTTCTGGGAATATGTCTAGCAAGCTGTGCAGGCATGCCATCTACAAGAGAGAGAAGTCTCAAGAGAGCTGGGTGACTTTAGAATTGAAATAAGCCAAGATCCAAAATTCTCCTCATAAGAAGTTACCTTGTTCACAAGGGCATTACATGGTTTCTTCCTATAAAGAAGAACTTAAGCTTGCCTGACTAGAGTTCACGGTTTGCTCATCTTAGGTCTGAGAAAACTGACACTGAACAGAAATCGATAGTCTCCACCTAAAGGTCAGTGTCAGCTTTCTGGTAGTTTACTGCTTGCTACAGGTTCTGGCAATGTTAATAAAACTTTCAGTTTCACTTCATGACAGTTTTATTTCTGAAGAGTTACATTCATGTGGAGTCAGCAGATTGCAGATGAAATGTAGTTGTATAAGGATAATAATAATAGTAAGAAGAAGTAGCACACATTTATAGAGTGTTTTAGGGTTTGCAAAGCACTTTACACATATTATCTCATGTGATACAACAATCCTAGGAGGCATCCCCATTTTTACAAGTGAGGAAACTGAGCAAGGAAGAGGTTAGTGACTTGTTTAAGATCACACAGCTAGTAAATGTCTGAGGTCATATTTGAATGTAAGACTTTTCTGACTCCAAGCCCAGCACATGCCACCGGGCTTCCTCTAGGTGTGTATTTTTATTAATATATATAGATAGATATTATATATCTATATATAGAGAGAATTGTGTATATGTGTGTGTGTGTGTATATATATACATATATATACATATGTATATATGTGTATATATAGAGTTCCATATGTTTTTCATATTACATGTCAGTCCATAAGTTTCAAGCTCAATTTCAATAAATTTTCAATTTAGATTTCAAGATTCAAGGCAATAAATACAATCTGGTGGTCATGTAATTGAGTTTTGTGTTAACTATCTCTTTAAAATCAGGTCCATTATGTTACGGCTCTGCAGAGAAGCTAGCATTCATCTTTAGTGAAGGAACATTAGGTCAACAGATAAGTTGGGGAGCTGTTGAGAACAAATAAACTTTTTACAATTGTCCATAATTATTTACAACTCAAAAAATAATCTAATAGCAATAACTAGGAAAAGTAGTGACAGAGTCATCGGAGGCTGAAACACATGCATAATTAGAGTTGATTTTAAGATGCTGAAGGTGCTAAAGACCCTAGGAATGGGAAAAGCAGAATCTAAGGCAAGATCAGATCTGAAGGCTAAGGGACACTAGGAGACAGAAGGGGGAAGTCGGGGTAGTGGGGAGGGAAGGAGCCTCTTCTCAGCTACTGCTTCCTGGGGCTGTTTCCCTCTCCTGGTGTCCACTTCCTCATTAGACTGAGAACTCCTTGAGAGCAGGGCCAATCTTTGGCCTTTCTTTGTATCCCTGGCTCTTTGCACACAGTAGGTGCTTAACCCATGCTTGCTGGCTTGACTCGCTCCCCAGTCTACCCTAACTGGAGACATGATCACAAGCATTCATCCATTTCAGGGAGGACTTTCCAAATCTGCCTTATCAGACAAGAGCCTAGCAGAGCGAGCCCAGGGTTAGCGTTATTAGAGGCTTTAAACTCAGGAAAAATCCACAATGCTTTGCTCTTTGCAAAGACAGTAATGTGCGTTTCTTTATCTTTCAAGGCTGTTTGCCTTTCAATTGACAATTACAATTTAAACATTTTCTTTTAAACTACATATGCAGTTAATATTCTTTCAGGTATAGAAAAACCTGAAGGGATAAAGCACCAGTGTTTCCATATAACAACACACTATGGCCAGTTTCTAGTCCCATGAATAAATCACCCTGGCTGCATTTTACCTCACTGGAATCTTCAACACTCCTTAGGAACTTTGTGCAATTTAATATACGAGCCAGTGAGACATCATTCTCACATTCTACAAAACTGATTAAGCATTTATTGTGTGCTCACACTGTGCTACAGGCCGCTAGGGGGCACTGGACTGGATAAAATGACAGGCCTGGAATCACAAAGTCTCATCTTTGGGAGTTCAAATCTGGTCTCAGTGACCCTGGGCAAGTCACTTAACCCTGTCTGCCTCAGTTTCCTCCTCTGTAAAATGAGCTGGAGAAGGAAATGGCAAACCACTCCAGTATCTTTGCCAAGAAAACCCCAAATGCGGTCACAAAGAGTTAGACACCACTGAAACAACAGAACACGGACAGAAAAGCCAGATGTCCCTGCCCTAGAGGAGCTCCCATTCACCATAAATCCAATGGAAGTCAAGGTCCCAGGGTGCTTAGGGTGGAGCGGCCAAGCATGCGCTCAGGCCTCTTCTCTAATGTTACCCATAGAACGGCAACAGGCTCCACTGTGGAGCCACTGGAGCACCGTGGCCAGGACTTCCCTTTCTGAGGCCTCAGGAGCTGGCCGTCCCCAGGGTTTACTTCCCAGGAGGATGGCTGAGGGCCTGAGGCTGGAAGTCTGGCTGGTCCCAAGGCCCTTGGGCTCAGGGGCCTGGGCTGCCTGGGCTGAGGGGAGCTGGTCGTGGTTGGCACATGCGGCCTCTTCTCTCCCTCAGGGGGCCTGGCTGCTCAGTTAGTGGCAGGTGGCGGGAGATGGCTGTAAGGGCTGGGCTAGAAGCAGGACCGGTGGAACAGGGTCATTGTTACAGAGATTATAATTGCTCAATTGTCTGTGGCTATTTTTCTCTTCACAAAGAACAGAGATTAATTATATACGCAATAAATCATGAAAGGAGAGGGAAGATTTCCCTCTTTAATTCTGTATTTTCCCTCTCACCTAGAGTGGACAGTGCCTAGCAGGGTAAGTAAAGCAAGCTTAAATGCTCTCAATGGGCCTGGTGTGTGCGTGTGTACATGTGTGTTCACATGTGTTTTGATCCAAAGTAAAAGTCTGTGTGTCTGAAGGCAGAGGGTATATCCTAAAATGACTGATGTTAAAAACAAAAGACAATTTTTAAAAAATAAAAGCATATGATTCAAAGGGCAGACTGATACCTGAGAATTTCAGAGAATATCTCCCCCCTCAAAAAAGAAAACTCCTTCCAAGTTGACCACCCAAGGTCCAAGGGGTTCCATGTTCTCATTTGCAGGTACATGGGGTGGGGGGGGGTCTCTCTTGTGAAGAAGATACTTAAAAAAAAATTTAAAAAAAAACCAAAAAAGATACTTGCTTGGGATCTCACTACCTTGAGGCTTTGATTTGATTTGGTTTTGAAATGAGGCCCATTAAATGGGGGTAGGGTGGGGGAGGCAGAGCTTGGAAGGAGCTTATTCCAACATACAAAGAAGAGGGGCCCAGAATTTCCAAAGATGACAGGGAAGACAAAGAAGGATAGATCCAGAAGGGTTTTGTAATTACTCCTGACAAGGCTGTATTAAAGACGGATTCAAATTTTGATCAAAGAGCCTAACCTAGACACTAACCCTGCCAGGAGGTGTAATCTTCATGAATGAAGAGAGCTCACTGAGGGCATCTGGGTCATTTCCCCAAGAGGCTGGAGCGGCACCTGTGTCCATGAAGGCAGCGGTCTGACTTCTTTCCCAAGCACAGGTCACTTGGTTCCACCTCCTCTGAGGCTAGCAGCCCCCTGAGAAGATCATTCTCCATACAGCAATACACGACTGGCTCTAGAAGGGCCTGAGAAACTGCTCATGAAGCAGAGACACAATGGGAGAAAAGGAATTGCAACAACTAGGATGTGTGAGGTGTCCCTTGGCCCCATGCTCTCATCCTCATAGGCCCTCAGGCTCCCACTCCAGGAATCATTCTGGACTCCTCATCCTCTCTAACCCCCCCCCCATCCAATCCTTCACCAAGGCCTGACCATCTCACCTTTGTAGCATCTCTCGAATATGCCCCCCTTCTCTCCTCTGACACTGCCCCCCACCCCTGGTGCAGGCCCTCTTTACCTTATGTCTGACCTAATGGCCTGCTGAAGGCTCTCCCTACTCATCCATCCTCCATTCAGCCACCAAAGTGCTAATATGACCAGGTCACTCTCTTACTCAATAAACCCCAGTGGCTCCCTAGGGCCTCCAGGAGCAAATACAAGATGGTCTCCTTGGCGTTCAATGCCCTTCATGCCCCGCCCCCTCCTCCCTTTCCAGTCTTGCCGGACCTCACTCCCCCACCCTGGTCCCCTTCCATCCAGTGACTCTGGCCTCCTGGGTGTTCCATCCCCTCCATCTCTGGGCTCTGGGCCTGGAACGCTCTCCCTCCTCTGCTCCCACGACTGACCTCCCTGGCTTCCCTCACATTAATAATTTCCTATTCATTCTACATTGAGTTTGTTTGTACTTACTTGTTCACATGTTGGCCCCCTACCTCATTGGATTGTGAGCTTCTCAAGGGCAGAGACTGGCTTTTGCCTTTCTTTGTATCTTTGGGACTTAGCACAGTGCCTGGAATATAGGAGGTGCTTAACACATGCCCATTGACTAAGTTTCTAAGGTGCTGGAAATCAACCCCTACATTTACCGATCTTAGGTGTAGGCTTTTAGAATCCAAGTCCCTAAATTTCTAGGTCTCTTCAACTACAAGCTTAGGTTTTTAGAAATCTGGGTGTCTAAGGCTCTATGGTGCCAAGTTTCTCCAATAAGATTTCAAGGTCACTCTGAGCCTGAGAGGGCTAAGTTTATAGGCTTCTTTGTTCTCAGCCTAGGCTTTTACTTCTCTAGGTCTCTAGATTTCCAGCTCTAACTCTGTCTCTAGTTTGTACACTCACCTCTTAAGTCTCTACTGCTCATTAGATCTCCAGGTTTCCCAGCCTCAGGTTACAATCATCTAGGGTTCTCCAAGTTTCTCTGTCTCTAACACTCTCAGCCTTAGTCTATAGAACTCTGGGTGTCTTAAGTCTTCTCTAGAATACTAGGCCTCAAAGTTATTCAAAGTCTGGGTCTAGAAGGAGACACATTTAAGGCTAAGTCTCTAGGGTTCAATGGACAGATCTGACTTTTTCTAGATCTCTAGTTCTAAGTGACTAGTTAGTACTCGTTCGCACTCCAGGTTTCTAGGGATCAAGGCTGAGGACTCGAAGTCTTTTGGTTTAAAGCTCAAAATCTCTCAGTTTAAAGCTCTACATCTCTAGGTCTAGGCTCTATTTCTTTAAGTCTCTGGTATTCTAAGTACTTTGATCTGGAAGGTTCCAGGTTACCAGATCTCAGGCTCTAGATGTCTATCTTGCTAGGTTTACACATTTCTAGGTCACTAGGATGACTAGCCTAGGTTTTTAGAATTAGAAATTGAGAGGATGCCCATCCATTGGGGAATGGCTGAGCAAGTTGTGGTATATGAATGGAATGGAATGGAATAGTATTGTGCTATAAGAAATGATGAGCAGGCAGACTTCAGAAAAACCTGGAAAGACTGGTATGGACTGATGCTGAGTGAAGTGAGCAGAACCAGGAGAATGTACACAGTAACAGCCCGTCATGAGATGACTAACTTTGATAGACTTAGCTCTTCTCACCAATGCAAAGATCTAAGACATCTCCAAGTCTCATGATGGAAAATGCTATCCACATCCAGAGAAAGAACTACGGAGTTTGAGTGCAGATTGAAGCATACTATTTGCTCCTTTTTTTTTCTTCTGTTTTATTTTGTTTCCTCTTTCTTATGGTTCTTCCTATTGGTTTTAATTCTTCCTTACAACATGACTAATGTGAAAATATGTTTAATAGGAATGTATACGTAGAGCCTCTATCAGATTGCATGCCGTCTTGGGGAGGGAGAGGGAGAAAAATTTAAAACTCAAAAGCTTCTGGAAGTGATTGTTGATAAATCAAAATAAATTAATTTTTTAAAAAAGTGCTCGTTTCCCACCCCAATAATCTTCAAAAGAAGGCTTTAAGAGTTTAAGCCAAACTGACCTTTGTTGTCTTTCTGCTTTTGGTTTTTCCCAGTGATGGCTTGAGAGAGACTGCTGAGAAGTAAAGCAACAGCTGAACTATTCTTTGGAAAACTGTGATGGCAGCCACTGAATCCTAGACCAGGGGTGGGGAATCTATGGCCTTGAGGCCACAGGTGGCCCTTTGACTGAATCTGAACTTTGTATAACAAATCCCCTTAATAAAAGGATTTGTTCTGTAACATTTGGACTCAGGCCAAAGGCTACACTGGAGGACCTAGAGGTGGCCTCGAGGTCGCAGGTTCCCCACCCCGTCCTAGACAATTTCTTAATTTGCAAAGGTTCTTTGGGTGATTCTCTCATTTCTGGATCAGTGCTCACTCCATATTGAGACACTATGTGTACCTGACAGAGGCACTTTTCAATTAGCTGGCCTAACATACTCATAAGTTTATCCCCATCTTCTTCCAGTATCTTTCCAAAGAAAATGAGCTCATCCAGGTCTCCCAACACTCCCATAAGCTGCTGAAAATTGGTAGGTGCTCCCTAAGATGTCAAATCCAACAGGAGAGATGAACACTGCCTTCTCTTTTTCTTCCTCTGCCATCAAGATCTGGAAGTATCTGTTGAGCAAACTCAAAACTGAAAACCACTAACAACTTATCAAGTTGACCAGAGCATCCTGAACTACCGGTGTAGTGTGTTGGTCAACTTTAGTCCTCTTGTCCAAAGTCTGCTAGCATCTTCAAGAAGCTAGAGGCTGTCTCCACGATGATAAACCAGAGATAATCTCTGGGTCTGGACCCAGCAAAGTGACACTATCACTCATATAACTATATATGGGGGCATCCTTGGGTCACATGGTCATGATGCTACCACTGGTCCCTGGACCCCAGCTTCTCCAAGTCAAACATTCCTTTCTGCTGGCACATCTCTCAGCAGTTTCTCTGGGTTCCTGGCTTTCACTCAGCTTCCTAAGGCAGTCAGATCATACTCTGCAGCTTGGAAACTGTGCTTAAACTCATTCTTTTCAGCATCAGATCAAGCTATGGTGTCTTTTCTTTCAACTCAAGACTAATTAGGTGCCTTCAAGTCTCAGTCAGCAGTCTATGTGGTTGGCTATCTACTTTGGTGAGAAGTAGACTGGATAAATTCAGTATATGCCCACTGCAGTGTCCTACCACCACCCAAATGCCTTTCTAGGCTCTACAAACATCTCTGCCACATGACTTGGACTTGAAGTCTTCAGATCCCTTTCCTATTTCAGGTATATGGTGATGCTGCAATGCTTCTGACACGTCTCTGACCTAGACAACCCATGTTCCTTCTCCAGTGGGACATGGGTCCTGTCCTGAGAAAATTCCCAACTTAGGGCTAGGGTTCCACTGCGGTGCAACACTGTACACTGTGTTATCTTTGGGAAACTAGCTTCAGTGTTCACTTTCTTCTTTTGAGCCCACATTTTGCTAGGAAACTCCTGGCACTGAGAATTTGTCCCAGTACTGTTATGCTTGTGGGAGGCCCTCTCAACTGGCCAATGCTCAAAGAGACTCTCCCAGAGACCTTCATATTCCCAACTATGTGGAAGTCCCAACTCTTAGTGGCCCCCTGATTTATGATATCTACAGGGGCTCATTGAGGTGGGCAAGGGTTTCTTGCTAAAGCAATAGTATTAGCTCAAAGGGCCCCCAATTTGTGTTTCGGTTACAGGAATGGTGATGGCTTTTCCCTTTAAGGATACTCTAGCAAGAGGCAGAACTCAGGTCAGTCCTACTCAGGCATTGCCAGCTGGGCTCAGCACTTGTATCCAAACCCTGGGTCAACACCCACAAGTCATGGAGCCACTTCCCAGACAACTAAACCTGCTTAGGCCCACCTTTACAGAAACCATGGAACAATCTTTTTGAAAGAATCCACACAATTAAAATGCCAACTGAAAGCCAAGAATAAGATTCCTATTATTGAACCTATATCATCTTTCACTGTGATGGCAGGCAGGTCACCAAAAAAAAAAAAAAAGCCCAAACCATATCCCATCCTTGTTACCAGATGCACTGGGTTCATTGGACTAATTCCAAAGGTACAAGATGTGATCAAACTGACATTTAACTGTAAATGGTATCTAAATGAGTTGATATGTAGTAAGCATTACCTCTGTGCCACTTGATGGAAAAAGCTAAATCCAACATGAACAGCAAGGCAGAGCGTCAGTAGATAGAGCCCCAGGCCTAGAGTCAGGAAGACTCATCTTCCTGAGTTCAAATTTGGCCTCAGACACTTACTAGCTGTGTGACTCTGGGTAAGTCACTTCACCCTGGTTGCCTCAGTTTCCTCATCTGTAAAATAAGCTGAAGAAGGAAATGGGAAACCACTCCAGTATCTTTGTCAAGAAAACCCCAAGTGGGGTCACAGAGTCAGAGATGACTGAAATGATTGAACAACAAAAAACAACAAATCCAAAACACAATTTTCTCATCTCTCTCTCTCTCTCTCATACACACACACACACACACACACACACACACACACGTGCACACATGCACACACTCAACCAAGTGGTTTGATATTTTCTACTCTTTGTACTCTTGAAAGTAGGCCTCGACTTCCGCTTCCAGGAGCCAAAATGGCAGAGTGAAAAGGTAGTTGCTCTCACCCTCCCCTATCAACCTCTGAAAACCCAGAAAATATCACCCCAGAAAAAAAACGCCTGGAACACCTGAACTAGAAGAAAGACAGGGAACAGTAGTGCAGCAACCCAGAAAACTAGTCTCCCAGTGCCTCAGCAAAAATAAGGGGAGCAGCACTACAAAGGGCCCCAGGCAAATAAGCACCCTGCAGCATTCATCTGCAAGGAGCTGAAGAAAACAACCTAGAGTCTTCCTAAAGTCCCAGCCTTGCTGATTCCAGCCCAACAACTCCAACTGTCAACTAGGAGGAGATCCTGAAGCCCAGGTGGTAGAGCAGGCAAACACCAACACCTGGACCTCCGAGTGCCTCAGTGAGGGCAGGGGGAACCAGGAGAAACCAGCTCAGAAAACTACCAGCTTCCTCGGCACTCCACCACAAAGGAATCTCCCAGTGCGTTAGCAGAAACGAGGGAGACAACACTGCAGGGGGCCCCAGGAAGATAAACATCCTGCAGCACCCATCTAAAAGGAGCAGAAGAAAGCTAAAGGAAAGGAAAAGCAGGCAACCTAGAATTGCCTGAAAGTTCCAGCCTTGCTGATTCCAGCCCAACACGAGGTAAGCTGCCAGAAATCTACAGCCTCCAATTGCCAACATAAGAGGCTCCAGCATACAAAGCCACCGACCAAGACCTAGGCTCCCAACACAAGAAGCTTGGGTCAGCGCCCTCTGTTCCCCAGCAAGAGAGCTCAATATCTTTAAAGGCCAGGGAATAAAGAAACACCATGAGTAAAAAGAAACGTTCCACAGATTCATATTATGAGAAGAGTGAAGATCAAGACAGAAATTCTGAAGAGGATGACATTGTCAACAAACCCACATCTGCAACAACAAAAGAGAATATGAACTGGTCTGAAGCCAAAAAGC